AGAGGAATTCATAACAGGTATGCAAGGATGGTTCATTGTAAGAAAAACAATCAATGTAATTAATCACCTTAACAAAGCAAAGAACAAGAACTACATGATCCTATCAATTGATGCAGAAAAGGCCTTGGACAAAATCCAACACCCTTTCCTGATTAAAACACTCAACCAAATAGGATTAGAGGGGAAATTCTTCAACATAGTAAAAAGCATATAGGCAAATCTGAGTGCCAAAATTGTTCTCAATGGAGAGAGATTAAAGGTATTCCCTTTGAAAACAGGAACTAGGCAAGGATGCCCACTATCACCTCTTCTAGTCAATATTTTATTGTAAGTCTAAGTGATAGCAATAACATATAAACAATAAAGAGAAAAAAATAAGAGGTATCCAAATTGGCAAAGAGGGAGGTAAAATTATCTCTCTATAGAGATGATATGATAGTATACTTAGAAAACCCTAAAGACTCAGAAAGAAAACTACTGGGCATAGTTGACCAATTCAGCAAAGTGGTAGGATTCAAAATCAAGATACAAACATCAATTGGATTTCTCTATAGTGACAAAAAGAAAACAGAACTGGAGCTAAGAAAAACAATACCCTTCACAGTAGCTAATCGCAAGATTAAATACTTGGGAGTAAATCTAACCAGAAGCACAAAGATCTATTCAAAGAAAACTACTATAAGAAACAAAAAGGAGACCTGGAGAAATGGTGGAATATCCCTTGCTCATGGATAAGAAGAGTCAATAATATTGTAAAAATGACAATAATACCAAAGGCAATATACACATTCAAGGCAATCCCAATACAAATACCAATACCAGTCTTCAAAGAGATGGAAAAGGTAATCTCCAATTTCATTTGGAATGGAAAGAGGCCCTGAATAAGCAAAGTACTCCTTGAAAAGAGAAACAAGATTGGAGACATCTCACTCCCCAATTTCAAATCCTACTATACTGCTGTGGTGGTCAAGACAACATGGTACTGGTACAATGACAGACACATAGATCAATGGAATAGAATTGAGAATCCAGAAATCAGCCCATATTCCTATGGTCACCTGATTTTTGACAAGGAGATAAAATCAGTTAAGGGGGAAACAACAGCCTTTTTAACAAATGGTGTTGACAAAACTGGAAAACTATCTGCAGAAAACTCAAGCAAGATCCACACCTCACTCCAGACACAAAACCAACTCAAAGTGAATCAAGGATCTAGGACTAAATCCAAGGACTATAAACTTTGTTAGAGAAAAGTTTGGAAGAACTCTAGAAGTCCTAATCCACAACATAAACATTCTTCCAAGCATCCCAAGAAACCTATAACCAGGAGAGGATAAAATAGATGAATTGGATCTTCTAAGAATCAAATCCCTATGCACATCCCAAAACTTCTCCAACAGGGTAAAAAGGGAAGCCACAGACTGGGAAAAAAATATTTGGTAATGACCTGTCAGACAAGGCACTTACATCTAGAAATTATAAAATACTCAAGCACCACACACAATAAAGGGAAACAACCCAATTGAAAAATGGGCATAGAGGGGAGCTCTGGTGGCCTAGTGGCAAGAAGCTGCACTGCAATCCCAGAGGAACACGGTTCGAATCCACCAGATGCTCTGCCGGAGAAGGAGGCGCAATATCCTCCTGTACCAGTCAGATCTGATTTGACGGTACACGCACACAAAATAATAAAATTAAAAAAAAAAAAAGAAAGAAAAATGGGCATAGGATATTAACAGACTTCACCAAAGACATTCAGATGGTGAACAAACACATGAAGAAATGTTCAACATCCCTAGCTCTAAGTGAGATGCACATCAAAACAACTATGAGGTATCATCTCACCACAGTAAGAACAGCAAAATTTAACAGAACAGCAAACATCAAATGCTGGCGAGGTTATGGAGAAACTGGGGCCCTTATTCAGGTGGGAGGGTAAAATGGTGCAACTACTATGGAAGGCAGTATGGTGCTTTCTCAAAAAGTTGCAAATAGAAATACCACTTGACCCAGCAATTCCACTACTGGGAATATATCCTAAAGAATTCAGAACTGCCAGCTAAGGAGATATATGCACATCCATGTTTATTGTGGCTTTGTTCACAGGTGTCCATTAACAAACGAATGGATAGAGAAGCTGTGGTATATTCACACAATGGAATACTATGCTGCACTGAAAAACAAGGAACTCATGAATTATTATACAAAATGAGTGATCCTGGAAGGCATTATGCCAAGTGAAATATCTCAATCACAAAAGGACAAATACTGCATAATGCCACTGCTGAAATATGGTGAAAACTAAGAAAAGAGGGGATAAATAATGTACACTATATTGAAATAGATGGGGGAAAGAACTGTTTTAAAAAAAGATATATGATTAGCTGTTATTGTCATGACAAGAGTCTAGAATGAAAGCTTCAAAGTGCAATGGACTGGGACAGATTGTATAACAATAAAAGACTATTTATTTGTTTTTTTTACTTTTCAAAGAGAAAAGTGAACTAAGTGGGAGGGGTGGGTAGGAAGGAACATGTGCAACAGTGAATGAATGGAAATCCAAAGTCTCTGTAAAGTTTCATTAAAATGAATAAAAAAAAAAAATGTGAGGATGGAGAGAATGTTGTTGTTGTTGTTGTTATGTGCCATCGAGTTGTTTGTGACTCACAGCAACCCTATGTACAAGAGCCCTAAATGCCGTTCTATCCTGTGCCAACCTCACCATCTCAAACACACTCATTCCCACCACTCCAATCACAGAATCGATCCATCTCATCGAGGGTCTTCCTCTTCTGCGCTGTCCCTCCACTCTCCCAAACATCATGTCCCTCTCAAAGGACTAGTCCCTCCTTGCAATGGAGAGAATAGCAAGAATTTATCTTGATGGCACTGGACAAAGCAAGGTTTCATTTTGTTACATATATGGCTGTTGTGAATCAGAGCTGAATATGAAGAAACTAATAGAGAAAGTAGATTAGCAATGGAAACTAACATTAATAGAGATATAAAGTAGATTAGTAGTGGCTATTAAAGTTGGGTGTGGTAAGTGAAGGAAAATACTTTGCAGATGGGCAGAGAAACCTGTGTTGTGTTCACAGCTAGAAAATTCTTTAATGAAGAAATAAAGATCTGAGTCACAGATGACTCGACAGCACAGAACAATAGTTAACAACTTGGAAAGGAAGAGGTAAAACAAATGAATTGTGTGAAATCTAGAGAAAGAACTGCAAGGATTGGCTAGGATATATGGATGAACTAGGTAGATTTCTAGGCTGATGAGAGGGATGATTGTGGGGAAAAGTGTTGAGGACCATTTAAGCAAGCACAATATGAAGGTGCTCGTTAGACATGCTCATGACAATTAATGCCTAAAAGAAAGCTGAAATTGTATGTAGCATTCAGTCTGCCATGTTACCCTTCCTTTAATCACTTTCACTCAGTGAGATATGAGCAATGTAAAATAAAAAAACCATGCAGGGGGTTGGGTGGGTGGGGAGAAAAGTGCAACAATGAATGAATGGAAATCCAAAATCTCTGTAAATGTTCATGGAAAATAACAAACAAACAAACAAAACAACAAAAAACCATGCAGTGGATGCAAAGAGTACCAAAAAAGTCCAAAAACACAGTCATTCAGTCAATTCTAGGCCATAGAAATCCTGTAGGACATACAGAACGGTCCTATATGAGGAGACTGCCTCATTTTTCTCCAGTAGAACCGCGGCTGGGTTTGAACCCCAACTTCTGGTTAGCAACCCAATGTTTGCATTACCCACTATGTATCCAGGGAGGGCTGGTACTCTAAGACAAGTTGGAATAGAAGAAATATATTAAAAGCTCCCAAATGTTTTTAGAGTAGTGTTCACAACTATAAGGATAAAGGAAATATTTCTGCTCCTTGTTATGTGCCGTAGAGTTGACAATAGCCCTGAAACTTGCTCCATCCTTTGCCAACTATACTGTCTCTGACACTCCTATCCTCATTACCCCACTGAATCAATCCATTTCATTGAGGGTCTTCCTCTCTTTCTCTGTCCCTTCACCCTTTCAACCATGATATCCCTTCTCCAAGGACTGGTCCCTCCCTCCTTGCAATATGCCCAAAATATGTCAGACAAAACTTCAGAATCCTTGCCTCCAAGGAGCAGTCTGGTTTCACCCTCTCGTATATTGAATACTCTTCTCCAGCTTAGTCTTTACATAAAAATAAAAATATCTTCTACATTTTTTAACAGGGAGCTTTGGTGGCCTAGTTGGAAGAAGCTGTACTGCAATCCCACAGGCATGTCGCTATGCGGGAGAAGGGTGTGCAATCTCTTCCCTTGTGATTTACTTCCTCTGAAAACCTGCTGGAGGGTCAGCTAAGAGTTGTCCAACTCGATGGCACCCAGTAACAGATTTCATAATATGAAGAGTAAAAAAAAAAAAGTGAAGTGACTGTTTCAAACTTAATCCTGGTCAAGGCTGTATCACAAAAAGGATTAATACATAAAGTGAAAAGTTAGTAATACATCTGAAAATTTCTTAAGGAATTTAGTTGAAAATGGTGCAGCTTTGTTTTATTTTTCATTTTTTTCTTTTTTCAAATAAGTTCCTACTAGTGAAATTTCACTAGGATATTAAACAAGAAAAGTGAATACTTCAAATTAAAATTTGGGCTAGCCTATGTATTGACTTTAAAGTAGTCCTCTTACTAAGGTATACTTTATGTATTTGTCTCCGGTCTGTCTCAGTTCCTCACTTGCTAACTATGCTATTACCACTACCATGGTATGTAGTTCCCAAGCATCTCAAGGAGGGCGGGGCAGAAGAGATACAATTTACTTGCCTTGTTGGTGTCATGCAGTGGGGTGAGCCAGCAGGGCTCAGAAGGCATTATGTACAAAGCCCAAACATCCCGACTTGTGGATCCAGCAACCCCTGGGTCTGACCAACACAAAGAGTAGGAAGAAGGCCAAAGACCTGGTTTCTTTCTCTTTTACTCCTTCCTGATTTCGTACCTTCACTGCATACAATTTGCCGCCTTTCTGACCCAGATACACTTTCCCGAAGGCGCCACGGCTAATGGGCTTCACAATGGTGAACTCCTCAATGGAAGGTGGTCTCGGCACCGTGATGCGATTCACGCACTGCCCTGCCGCCGCGTCTCCTCCGCTTTCATTCTCCCTTCCTACCGTGGGTTCCATCCTAAGGTTGAGAAGGGACCAGAGTAACTGCGGCCACCGCCCCACTCAAAGCCGCGACTCCCGCCAACTAGGTTCAAAGCGAGGCTCCGCCTTCTGTAAGCACTGTGTAATGACGCCATCGCGTAGCCGCGTTCGTAGCGCCTTCTGACCGTAGTCCCGCCTCTGCCTACTCCTCCTAGGCAGAAGGAACCAGTAGGCGTGGAGCTCGGACTGTTGGGGATTGGAGCCTTTTAGCGCTATCCATTTCCTTTATATTAAGGGGGAGGGAGGAACACACAGTTTTTTTGTAAATTCGAAAGGGGAAGCAAGTACTTCAGTCTGGATTGCAGGGCTTTTGAAAAGCTAGTCCCTGATCTAAAAGTCAGGCAAACGGGACCTTGCCCTCATTCTGGTCAAGAATTGCTATTGTTCGTCTTAGCGACCTCGCACCCTGGCGAGTAATATAAACTGGTTCTGATTGTTCTGTAAAGTGATTGGCCAGGGAGGCACTTTGGAAGCTAGTGAAACCATGGAATGTGGAAAAACTGGATAAGTAGGAAACCAGGGTTGGTCCTATACTCGGATGACTTAACAAGATGTATCTTGCCTGAAATGATTAAGGCCAAGAACGAATTTATTTCCAAATTATGGGAAAGTTAAGGCGGACCAAATAATGGGGGTGTGGGAGACCTAATTAGTTTCTTAGAAATAGGAGAATACATTTGATATTTGAGGACATCTCAAAATCTGAAAAGTATTTTCAGGGTGCATGGCATTCTCCCTTGGGGAAAAGCAAAAACCAACCACCTTTTACAGCCAGGAGTTGGTGGGATGCAGCATATGTTTTATTGGATGTAAACATCAATTACTTCAGTGTTCAGAGGCTTTGCGGGTGAGCCAGGCGAAACCGAGCCCAGCAAAGCAGCGAACCGAGATGTACCTCTAGCTGGTGTCGCTCAGCTGCCCCGGAAGTACTATTGCGCTGGAGCCTTGCCTTCCGGGACAGATTTGCTTGTCGTTGCAACAGCTGAGGAAAGGGGAGGCCATTTTCCGATCAGGAAAGAGAGCAGAGGAGGGGTAAAAGAAGAGGAAAAATAGGGCTCAGCGCCTCCCCGCCGCGCCGTGTACAGGGTGGCCTTCTCGGCTGGCGGGTGAGGTCGCTGAGAGCCCGAAGGAGATGTTTTCCCTGTCGAGCACGGTGCAGCCCCAGGTGAGTCCGTCGCTCGGGACCCTTTTCCTCTGTCCCTCCGCGCGGCTGTGGGCCATTTCGGTTTCTAAGAAGGGACTCTAGCTGGGAAGCGATTCCTGGGTTGAGAAGTGGACCTGAGACTGTAGCTGTTCGGAGCGGAAATAAAATATGAACGTGATGGAGACTTGGCCTTAGCGACTTGATTGCATGGAATTTCTCCATGAGAATCTGTCTGGCATTGTTCACTGTCAAGCATTCTAGGAATGAGGGTGGGGGGTTGGGGTGGGACAATGTCTTTGCTGTGGTTTTAAAGGAAGCAGATAATATGTCCATTTCATCCTTCTGCCTTTCCAGAACGGAGGCTTTAATATTTACACCCCCCCAAAAAAATATTTACACCCCCCCAATCTTCTGCTCTTTATGTCTGTTTAAATGGAATTTGATAATAATTTGAACACTTGCTACAAATTCTCTTAGACTGAAATAATTTACAGGTTTCTGAACTGTTGACTGCTTGCACGTAGGACTTTCCTTCCTTCCCATCTTTTTGTAAAGATAGGGCAGAGAGAAATTAGTTCAGAGATTTTTTTATTATTACCTTTTTTTCTGTAATCTACTTGTGACAATGATTTGTTCTTAGTTCATTAGGTTAGAACTTTTTTTTTTTAAAAAAAAGATGTTTATAGACATCTCATTTGGAAGAAAGAATAATTTTTGGAGGCTTTGGTATAGAAAAGAGTTTAATAGATTGGTGGAACAAAAATAAGGCTAGTGTGGTTAATTAAGAGTCTGATGATTAAAGAGAGCACTGATAGATGTGGTTAGAGAACGCTGGTTAGAAGTTATTAAGGAAGTTTGGGGTTCATCTCAAGTTGCCAGAACCATTGAAGACTTAAAAGGAGAGGAGTGATGGCACAGTTATACTTTTAATAGATCATTCTGGTTACTTACTGTGTGGAAGATGTCGGTAGAATAGCAGGAGAAGAGTTAAACTTAATGATTTGAAAGTAAATAACAACAGAAGGACACTTTAGTTGTGTAGTTTATAGAGAGTTGTGCAGCTAACTCAAAGAAGTGATTCTCTGAAGGTGCAGGAGGTGATGGTTCAAATTCACTAGTGGTTTTCCAGACACAAAGGTGAGCAGTCTTCCTCCAATGTGGTTTACAGCCTCCAAAATCCCCCTGGAGTGTAAGCTATATGTGTTCTGACTGAGAGTCTATATGAGAATGACTGAACAACAGATACTTTATTAACCTAGGAGATAGACAATTTGGTACACCAAGTCCATCTTTATTAGTATCAAATACAAATAGCTTTTGTTGAGTTGGTGGTAAATTCTAATATCAGACTTTCTTGATGTGAACTACGTAATTTAGTTTCAAGATATTAAATAGTATACTAAACAGAATTAGTCTTACTTTTAAAAATACAGCCACAACTCCTCTGTACGTTCTCATCTTGGTAAGTAGCACTTTTCATATGTCAAGCTGATTAGACTAGAAATACTTGACCTGCTTCAAATCCAGTTTCAGGGAATTCAGTATTGTTTTTAAAAAATTACTATCTTTTTTTCTTTAACAGATGCCACTACAGTGAAGAATCATCCGTCTTTTAGTTTAGTATAATACATATTGTAATGTGTGTGTATTACACTAATCCAGGAAATGGATGATGGGTTGTCTTGGAGGAAGTGTGACCACCATGCTCCTTAGAGGCAAAGATAGTGAAACTTTGTCTCCTATAATTTGGACATGTTGTCAGGAGGGACCAGTCCTTGGGGAAAAAAACTACATGAAGGGAATAATGAGGAGTTTGGGACAGAGAGGAAGAGCCCTAACAAGTAGATTGGCACAGTGACTATAACAATGGACTTGAGTGTATCAGAGATCAAGAGGATGGCACAGGAGAGGACAGGGTTCAGATCTATTATTCAGAGGGATGCAGTGAGTCATAGTCAACTCGAGGGAACCTAACAACAGAAACACCATAATATATATATTAAGAGGGTGAGGTGTTTCTGGTTTGATCAGCTTAATGCATGAAAGTGCTATTTCCTAAGTTGACAGTGTCTGAAAAAGTTAGAGCTTTGGTTGTTAACACGTTGCCACAACACTTTTAAATTGACGACTGTGCTTAGAAACACATTTTCCCCCATGCATTACTGTCATTTGAGGCAACGTGTTAAATAAGTCAGACTAATTCTGTAAAGCGCATTAACATAATGAAGCTAAATGATGTAGCATACATCAAGGACGTCTGCTTTTAGAATTTACTATCAACTGGATGGAAAGTTAGTTATATATGATTTTAATAAAGCGACTTTGTGTATTGAAGGTACTCTAACACTTTAAATTTTAAATGTAGAACTGTTACACCTATTATACTGTGAAACAGGATATATTCATTTCCTAGGAAATTCATTAAAAATAACACAAACTTAGGGCTCAAGAAAACAAATTTATCTTTTTAGCAAATGTAGGAGCTAAAAGTCTGAAAGCAAGTTGTTGACAGGGCCATACTCACTGAACACTCTAGAGAAAACTTCTATTCCTTCTCCCTCTGACCTTATCACAAGACAGTCTTCTCTGTGCATTCTTTTGGCTTTTGTTGGCTCTTTTTTATGAGAATACCAGTCCTGTTTACCCTATTACAATCTTTGATGGACCGTAGATAGGAGGATGGTGCAGGGGGGGTTCAAGTCCATTGTTCATAGATCTTGGTGAGCTCAAGGACACTTAACAGTATATTCTGATGGAAAAAACATGCAGAAGTAAACTTGGCAATATAATAAAGGGTCAGATCTAATATGTGTTCACAGGTAAGAAGGAAAGTCATTGGAGACTTTCGGACAGAGAAGTAATAGGCTCTTACTTTGGTATTAACATGATTACTTTTATGCTGGGCCCAAAATATGCTGCACCTGGACAGATGTAAGGATAAACTCATTGCTGTTATAGCTGTCTCTTCACGAGAGTTTCCAGGAGAGTGACTATCTTTGTGACACAGAGCCACAGGTGAATTTGAACCAGCTGAGAGATGCTGTCTTTGGGTTTACCCCAAAACTCCCTATGGACTCACTACCAGAGCTCCCTAGATACAAGTGTAGTAGTTAGAATATGGCAGAAATGCAGGCTATTTTACATCAGTGGTAAATAATGGGATGGTAGCAACAAAAAAATGTTGTTGTTGTTATGTGCCGTCGAGTCGCCTGCGACTCATAGCGACCCTATGTACAACAGCCCTAAACTCCGCTCTGTCCTGTGCCAATCGCACTGTCTCTGATACTCCCATCCCAATTATCCCAGTCACTGAATCAATCCACCTCATAGAGGGCCTTCCTCTCCTGCACCGTCCCTCCACCCTCCCAAGCATGATGTCCCTCTCCAAGGACCGGTCTCTCCTCACTACATGTCCAAAGTAAGTTAGACGGAGCCTCAGAATCCTTGCCTCCAAGGAGCCACCCGGTTTAACCCTCTCCAGGATGAATCTGTTTGTTTTCCTAGCAGTCCATGGTATTCTCAATACTCTTCTCCAGCACCACAGCTCAAAGGCATCAATTCTCCTTCTATCCTCCTTGGTCATTGTCCAGCTCTCTGATGCATAACAGGTGATTGCGAAGACCATGGCCTGTATCAGACGCACCTTAGTCTCCAGAGAGACACCACTGCTCTTCAGCACTTTGGAGAGGTCCCTAACAGCAGACTTTCCCATGGCAATGCGCCTTTTAATTTCCTGGCTGCTGGTGCCAAGACTGTTGACTATGGAGCCAAGCAGACTAAAGCTGTGTACAATCTCAATCTCTTCACCATCCATCCTGATGCTGCCGATTGGTCCAGTCAAAAAAATAGGGACGTTTAAAAATTCTGAATATTTACCTGGTATGGTGGTTGTTATATGCTGACGAGTCACCTGTGACTCATAGTGACCATGTGTACAACACCACTAAACCCTGCCCTATCTTTAGATAGAGCCAGTCTTATTATCTCTGACAACACCTACCCTCATTACCCCAGTGACTGAATCAATCCATCTCATTGAGGGTCTTCCTCTCTTGTGCTGTCCCTCCACCCTCCCAAGCACGACATCTCTTTCCAAGAACTGATCCCTCCTTGCAACATGTCCAAAGTATGTCAGACGAAGCTTCAGAATCCCTGCCTCCAAGGAGTAGCCTGGTTTCACCCTCTCTTGGATGAACCTGTTTATTCTATGGTATCTATGGTATATTCAGTACTCTCCTCCAGCACCGCGGTTCAAAGATATCAATTCTCCTATCATCCCTTGCCCTTCATTGTCCAGCTTTCTGAAGTTTAGCAAGTAATTGCGAAGACCATGGCCTAGATTGGGCACACCTTAGTCTCCAGACTGACATCATTGCTCTTGAGTACTTTGGAGAGTTCTCTGACAGCAGACTTTCCCAGTGCAATTCATTTTTTAATTTACTCACTGTTGGTAACAAGAGTGTAGACTGTGGAGCCAAGGAAACTGAAATTGTTAATCTCTTCATTGTCTGTCATGATGCTGCCAGTCAACCCATTGGTGAGAATCTTTGTTTTCTTGATGTTGAGCATCAGTCCATATGTAAGGCTTCAGTCCTTGACCTTCTGTAGCAAGCTCTTCAGGTCCTTCTCAGTTTTGGGAAGTAGGGTTGTGTCATCTGCGTAATGTAGATTGTTGATGAACCTTTCTCTAATCCTGATGTCACATTTCTCCTCATAGAGCCCAGCCTCCTGGATAATCTTTTTTGCATGTAGATTGAAAAGGTATAGAGGTAGGACACAATCCTGGCATATACTCGTCCCAGTTTTGAACAATGCAGTGTTTCCTTGCTTTGTTCTGATGACAGCCTTCTGGTCCAAGTACAGGTTTCTCCTAAGAACAGTCAAAGTGTTCTGGGATTCCGATTCTTCTCAGAGTAAGCCACAGTTTGTTGTGACTCACAAAGTCAAATGCCTATGCATAGGCATTGAAACACAGATAGACATTCCTCTGGTACTACCTGCTTTCAGCCAAGATCCATCTAACATTACTAGTACCATAGCCTTTGCTAAACCCAACCTTCATGTCTATCAGTTCTCAGTAGAAGTGCTGTTCCAGTCATTTTTGGATAATTTTCAGCAGGATCTTCTTTGCGTATGATATCAATGATATTGTTCAATAATTTCTACACTCTCAGGTCACCTTTCTTTGAAATGTCAATAAATATGGATCTCTTCCAATCAGGTGGTTGTCCTCCAGTTTCTTGGCACAACTTGGTAAACACATCCAGGGCAGCATTTGTTTGTTGAAATATGTCAATTGATATGCTGTCAATTCTAAGTCATACTTAATATTACTATTTGTGGATTTTTTTGTGTGTGTCATTATTATTTAGCTGCTTCCCTAGTGTTAACATTTCTAGTTTTCTTAATATGACAAGATATGATGGAAGTTGATATTTGTGTATGTTGAAACATTTATCAGATTATGTTCTTAGAATTAATTCTTAAAAGTTAAATTGTTGGAACAGTGAAAATAAGAAATTTTAATCTTTTTGATTTATACAAACAAGATGCACAATACCACATTTTTTCCCTTTGCCAGCCTTAAATCTGAGAACTTGCTACGATTTGCTATGCATGTAGTATATATATTTACTCTCTTGTAATTAAAAAAAAATCAGTGGAATCTTAAAAATCCTATGGGTTTTTACGCAGATTTTGTTTTATAACTAAAATTGATTCATGTACTAAATTATGTCTTTATCAATCCCTTATTGTACATATATTGCTTTCTCTTCACTCAATTTATTAATTTCTACTTCTTTCTTCCTCCCTTCCCAACCCTGTTAACCTTCCAAGATTGATACTGTGTGTACATCTTAACTTTTTTTTTTAAATTTTTTTTATTTTTGTGTGTGTACTGTCAAATCGGATCTGACTGTTACAGGAGGTGATTGTCCCTCCTCCAGCAGAGCATCTGGTGGATTTGAACCATGCACCTCTGAGATTGCAGTGCAGCTTCTTGCCACTAGGCCACGAGAGCTCCACCTTTCCTTAACTTTTTTTTTTTTAATTGGGAAAAACATATTGGGGGTACAAGGAGGTGAGGGTTGGGGGCAGAAGGGTGAGGATGGGCCAGGATGCAGTTGCAGAGCTGCACAGTTTGGTCGGTTGGGGGAGCAGGTGAAAGAAATGATGAGGGTCCAGTGGGGACCAGATGCTACAGAGGAATGACAAGCATTTTCCAATAGTAATTAAACCAACTGTCTTATTGATTTGGGAATTGGATGCCGACTCTCTGGCTTCTTCATGCTGAAACAGGGGCGTAGATATAAAGGGGGGAAGGGAGGATGCTTTATCACCTTACTGGTGGTCTTGGGTTACAGCTGCTTGCCTTCTTGCTCCTGAGGGCTGCGACGGTTTGCCCCGGGCAGAAGGCCATGACGGCTCGCCCCGGGAAGAGGGCCGAGGGCAGCTCACCCCGGGCAGGGGGCCGAGGGCAGCCCGCCCCTGGCAGAGGGCCGCTGCGGCTGAAGTCTTTTTTTAAAAAAGAACAAGAAAAAGTGTGTGTGTGTGTGTGTGTGTGTACCGTCAAATTGGATCTGACTGGTACAGGAGACTGCCCCTCCTTCTCCAGCAGAGCATGAAGTAGAGTCTGGGTTCCCCTTCCCCCCCCAGGTGCCTGTCGGGGCCTGGGTTTCAGCTGTCCACACCACAGCAGTGGGCAGTGAGCTTAAAGCCCCTGATGGCTCTGGGCGCTGACTCTCACCAGTGGCTATGGATGAAGTCACAGGCGATTTTCAGCCAGCACCGGTTCCTTAACTTTTTATAATAGTGATCTTATACCATTTTAGCCTTTTGTACTGACTGACATGAGCATTATTTCCTCTAGAATCATCAGCATGGCACAGTGTTTCACAGATTCTTCATTTTACATAGTACTCCATTGTGAATGTACCATGTTTGCTTAACCATCTGTTACTTGATGAACACTTGTGGTTTCCATCTTTTTCCTATTATAAATGTTGCAGTGAATATGGGTACTAGTATATAGTATATATTTATTCTTATATTTCAACTCTTGACATGAAAAGATACTTTTTGTGTTTTATTTTAAAAACATGCTTAATGTCACCTTTATCTTTTCCTAGGTTACAGTTCCTCTGAGTCATCTCATCAATGCCTTTCATTCACCAAAAAATACAGCTGTTTCTTTCAGTGCTTCAGTTCCTCAAAACCAGCATCGAGATGTAATTACTGAGCATGAGGCTCCCAGCAGTGAGGTAATAGTATTTATGAAAAGATACTCCATTTGTTTGAAAAACATTCTTTTAACTCAGTTTGTGTCATATTTGAATAAATATCTTTCTGTAGACCTTTGTTGTTATATGATGATTTATATATTTTTCTTAATCTTCTTTGCAATTAAAGACTTACTATTCCATCTTCATTTTACATATAGTATAATGCTTAATGCTTTTGCTTTCTTCTTTACTAATGAAATATTTTTAAAAATCCTATATGGTGTTCTATTTGATATTCAACTCCTAAATTACTGCTTGTGTAATACTAGCAAGATACACTTTTATATTCTTTCACAGTAGCCATGAACCTGGAAGTTAGAAAAATAAGTGGCATTTACTATTCTAGAATATCTCTTGACACCAACACTCAGGAAATAAAAAGATGAATTGCCCTGGAAAGGTCAGCTGTCAGGGAGGTCTCCAGAGTACTGAAAAGCAGACATGTCAGTCTAGAGATTAAGGTGTTGTTGTCCGAAGGAAAAAACAGAGATGGGGACACATAGGAATGGGGGTCAGGCCAGTAAGTATGATGGCAGGGGGCTAACAGCTGGGAGTAGTAAAGAAAAGCAAAGGATCATGGGGAAGTCTTTTGTAAATAAGGCTGAGTTCTTCTCTGTTGTTTACCTTAGGCTTATCTCAAGAGGGAGGGATTCATACAAACTAGGAATTATGTAGACTTTTAAGGAATGCCTTTGTGCCACAGGATGAATTCTAGCTTGTATTATACCTCCCTCATATCCTGATAATAGCATTTGGTTTATTATTAGTATTAGATTTGATATTTGGCTTCCCACACTAAGATGCACCTAATCCAGGACACGGTCCTCTCATTTACTTGCTATGCATCAGAGAGCTGGTCAGTGACTAAGGATACTAGAAGGAGAATAGATGCCCTCAAGTTGTAGTGCTGGCGAAGTGTCTTGAACATACCATGGACTACCAAGAAAAATGAATAAATTTATCTTCCAGAAGGTGAAACCAAGTCTCTGCTTGGAGTCTAGGATTTTGAAGCTACCTTTTCACATAGTTTGGGCACTTGGCCAGGAGAGACTGGTCCTTGGAGGACATCATGCTCAGAAGGGTGGAGGGACAGCAAAGGAGAGGAAGACCCCAGATGAGATGGATTGATACAGTAACTGGGGCACTGGGGGTTGATGTTGCTTAAGATTTCAGAGACTGTCTTTAAAAGGTTTATTCATAAACCTTGTACTTCAGAATAGATTTGCTTGTACTTCAGAATACATTTTCCATAGAAAATATAATTAAGTTCTTAAAATCAATGTTCATCTTAATATCTAGCACTTACCTGCAATTTTATTACACTGTAAGGCTTGCATATTGCTGTGATAGTGGAAGCGGTGCTGTATGTATTTCATATATCAACCCAGTCTTCTATGGTAGACAGCTTTTAGCAGAGTTTACAAACACAGACTAGGGTAGAGTACCTGATCTGTGTCTGGAACAAAATTAGCTAGTAAAAATGATCTGAGTAGCTGCAGAATGTTGTCAGATAGTGCGACACTTCTGTGAGGAGGACACAATTTTTAATCTGTTATTAGGGTTGTTAGGAGTTGTAGTTGAATTCACAGCACTTCACAACAGTGACAAGAAATGGGCTTTAGTGGAAATAGGCTGTACAGAGTTGTATTACTAACCCAGAAGTGATGCCCTTTTGACAGTTCACGTTTCCCATTGACTCCAACAGAGACAGAAGGTGCAGTATTCTCCTTTGTGATTTATGAATCCTGAAAACCTACGGGAGGGTCATCTGTGAGTTCCCTAACAACAGTGAGTTTTGAGTTTAATTGTGCTCATACAGAGCTGGCACATAGACCAAGAAATAGTCTTGAAGAGCAAGAGGATAGATAGTATGTAGTTTAAAATCAAGAAGCGTGTCAGAGTCATAGTCTTTCACCATACTTTTGTAGAGCAGCTGGTAGCCTTGAACCACATGCCTTTCGGAGAGTAGGGGAAGCAAAATTGACTTTTTCACTGTTTTTCATTCCCAGCATTCAAAGTGGTCAAATCTAGCCCATCTCATCTCACTACTGCTTACTGTGTTAGTATTGATAGGTTCTGTTTCATTTTTCACAATTTTTAGTTTTGTAGCATAAATTCCATGGTGTTGTTAAGTGCCTTTGAGTCGCATGCGACTCATAGAGACCCTACAAATGAAGGTCTTGGACACCTCCAGCATAACTTTTGTCCTTTCTCCAGGTTCATAGGGTTTCCAGAGGCAAACTGTTGTGGAAGTGGATGCCACTCCTGCTTCCAAGCTTGTTTTAATTGGGGAGCTTCACCAAACACTGTCCACCATGGGTAACCATTCTCGCATTTGACTCATCAGTGTCACAGTGTTCAGCTTCACAGCAACCACGAGTTACCTCTGTACAGCAAGTGGACATACCAGAGTTTTACAACCTAGAAGAATGTTTCACCAAAAACAATTAAAGGCAGACCTAAGGTCTGCGGAGTATAGTCACCACCTTTGGCTTGGGAGCATCTTTTTCTGTCCGCTAAGGCCAACTGCACGTGCGCTCTCTCTGCCTCTATACTGTTGTTGTTGTTGTTGGTAGTGGTGTTAAGTGCCATCGAGTCACAGGCTACTCATAGCGACCCTATGAGTGAAGGTCCTGGACACCTCCTGTATAACTTTTGTCCTTTTTCCAGGTTCATAGGGTTTCCAGAGGCAAGCTTTTGTGTAAGTGGATGTCACTCCTGCTTCCAAGCTTGTTTTAATAAGGGAGCTTCACCAAACACTGTCCACCATGGGTAACCATTCTCACATTTGACTCATCAGTGTCTCAGTGTTTGGCTTCACAGCAACCACGAGTTACCTCTGTACAGCAAGTGGACATACCAGGTTTACATGACCCTTACTCTAAGGGTGTGTACCTCTAAATGAAGTGGACCTTTATTTTTCTTCATTTCGACTGGCTTCCATTCTGGTCTCTAGCACTACTAATACAACTATCCACATTTTTCTGAAATTCATAGGGGTTTTGGAGGCTTGTTATTTAAGAAGTGGGTGGCCAGTTCTCCTTCCTAGTTTGTCTTAATTTGAGAGCTCTACTAAACCCTGCCCATCATGGGTAAGTAACTCTTTTGGCATTTGACACACCAGTGGTTTAGCTTTCAATATCACAGCATCCTATCAGTTATCTCTCAGTTCAGCAAACTGACAGATAAGTGCTGTACCAATTACAACAGTGTTCTCCCTGAACACAACAAACTGACAAGTTAGTTTGTAACTCTAATAGCAAATTTGTCTTCATACCAGGCTTGAGAGCCACAGGCCTTCATGCCCAACCAATTTTTAAATCACAAAGTCCTGCCAACTGGGTCATAATTGGTTTAAACAAGAGGTTTCCAGCCCACAAGAGCTTGTTAATTAAAACAAACAGCTTGTTAATTAAAACAAACAGCTCACACCTGATAGTTAAATAAAAAACAACCTACCTTTCAGAATTCAACTGCTTCAAACAGGAGACTCCAAATAAACTCTCAGGCAAGACTCAACCGATGGAAGGCTATAGGGTCAGCAAAGGAGAGGAAGACCCTTAACTAGGTGGTGACTACTGTACTGAGCTCTAATGTGTGAGGATGGCACAGGATAGGACAGGATTCAGATCTGTTGTTCACAGGGTCAGTATGGGTCATACTTGACTTGACAGCACCTAATAGCAACAACAGGGGCAGCAAAGAGTATCATCACCCAATATAAGCCCCAAGTTTTAGCCCTGCAGACCCCAGAACAATTCCAGTTCAGCAGTCAGCTTTTTCCTCCACCAACTGGCAAGAACAGCAGAACCTTTAACTGTGGCCTTTATATCAGGGATCCTCTGATTATACTTTGCCACAGTTTCTCCACCGCAGTTCCATAGTGTCTCTACCACCATCACCAGGGTCTTGCCCCAGTTTCAAGTCTTGCAGCTCAGTGTGGAAAGTTCTCTCTCTTATCATGGTCCCACAGCTGCTGATTTGTAAGACCATGTATCTGCAGTTATGTTAGTTTGAGACCAGAGGGGGCTAACTTGAGGGCTAGAAAAGCCAAGTCTTAAGCGAACACCACACCATCTTTATGCATTCCTTTTATATTGTTTGGCGTTACTATAGAAAGTCTATTCAAACTTTTTACCTTTTTGATAATTCCCTTTAAAAATTATAGTGTGTAAACCTTCCTATTGCGGATACTACTTGTATAAAAATTGGTGCTTGTAGGAAATTTATGTTAATATTAGAAATTTTAGAAAATACCAATGTATATGAAAGAAAAATGTCTGATCTCATTCTCTAGATGTTTTAGTGTGTGTATAGTTCATGAGATTATCCTCTTATGTTCTCTACATGTGCTTATTTAGATGCTGCTCTTTAATATTTTATGAGCCATACTTGTTCTGTATTTTCAGTGACTTTAGAATATTCCGTTGTGTGCATTTACTTTTTTAATGGTTTCTAAATTTTTATTGCTATAAACAGACATTATTGTTACCAACCTTATTGCTAAATTATTGATATTATTTCATCAAGTGAAATTGCTGTACCTGTGGCACAGAACATTTTAAGTACTTGAAGATAAGTGGAATTTTAGAAGTTAGTCTTCCACTTGAGATAGTAGATTGTATAATGTTGTCCTTCCAGCTCTGATGTACTCTCATTCCTTTAATGTTTTTTTGTTTAACAACATTTTCCCTCTTTTCAACCATCCTACCTCCTATCTATGATCATCTTCTCAATTTTTACTTGTTCAGAAATCTAACCTATATGTCAAAAAAATTAAAATATTTTAGATGTGTTTTTGTTTTTTTAAAAAGAAACAAAAACACACGCACAAAAAATCCACCCTACCAAGAAAAGTAAGCAAAAGCCCTTTTCAAGTTCTTCCAGGTTACTGAAGGAGTTCTTTTCTCTTTGCTTTCAGATACTTGACAGAATAGTGTGAGCTTTAATTCACACAACATTCTGTTCTTTTTGACTAA